TATGTGTCCTACCACGTGTGGGAGTACCGAGACTGGCAAACACGAGGGTATCAACGACTTGGAGCTCCTTTACCAGCCATTGGACTCGCGATGCTCGTGAATGCAGACGCCAATTCCTCGGTGGACTCATCGGTTCCGGATGGGGCGTGGCGAGAGCCGTCACCACCACCATTCTATGATCCTTGGAACGATTCGGAGTGATACTTGAGCAACATGTCGGATAAAATGACGCGGTTGTGCTTGCTTTGTGTGCGATTCCATGTTGAGTTGTCTTGCTTGGTGTTGTGCGTTCCGTCTCCAGTTGTTCGCCGCTTTCATTTGACTCTGAGCGGTTTGCCTGGTTGATATGTTCAATTGTACAATGTATAGCGCAGCACGATGGGTCCTGCCTCGCTACTTTGACTACGACATCGTCAATGGCCCCGCGAATACGAGTGTAGAATGGATTCGGATCTATGTACCGGGTCCGTGGCATCCAGTCGCCGAGAACACCTTGGGACCAGCCCCGGATGACTCAACCACCTATCGGGAATGGCGCAAGGTTTACCACTTCGAAGTGTATTGGCCGAGGGATAGCACAGGCGGCACCAATACAGGTGCTGTTTCGCAGCCGGTATCTTATGCATCCTTCTATACTTGGCATTATAGAGACTGGGTCACCAGGGGATACCAACGGCTGGGTCGCCCACACCCTAGCATTGCGCGGCCAGTTTTCGCTTCGGGCGCACCGGACCTCATGTACGCTGGATTGACCTCTTCATCGGCATCCTCCAACTCGGATGGTGGCTGATGCTCGTCCTCGCCTTCCTGGGGAGTCTGTTCAGTTCAATTCGATTCGGGAGATTGACTTCGATACCGGAGCCGTGCGTTGCTGCAAAAGTGATTTCTTGCACTGTGGTAGTTGTGTCTCTTTCAGTAATTGTTGTCTGCAGCCGTACCTATCAATTTGTCTTTCCGGGTTTGCGTTGTCATGCCGTGGCTGGAATGGTGTCCGGATCCTCAACAACCAGATGCCCAGTGGGTCAAGATCTTTCATCCGGGATCATGGACTCCACATGAAGAACATGATGCTCCACCTCCACCGCACACGTATAGAGAGTGGAGGGAGTTCTATGCTCCCAACCCGGACCAAGACGGTGAGCAGCTCAATGTCACCATGTGGTACAAAAGAGACTGGGCCACAGAGGGCTATCGGAGAGTCGCTGCCCCTCAAGCTGGTCATGACTTTGATTCTATGTCTTTTCCTGATCATCACAGCGTGGCCACGCAATCCGCGGCATTGAGTATGTCACCGCAGATGTTAGAAGCGATCCTTAGATCCTCGGATGCGGCGGATTTCTCTACCGAAGAACTGACTCGTCTCCAAGAGGGGATTTCTCAACAACTGACAGCTCGCGCACGTCACGCTTCCCAACTTCATCAACCTGTACGTGCATCACGTGGAATCACACCATCGGAGACTGTTGGGGTCTCCGACCCATACCGGCCTGTTAATCCTCCCGACAGCTGCAAAGCCAAGGCGAGACCTATCTTCGAGCTAAATGAGGACTAGAGGGGTAGCATACAAAATAAGGGTGGTTTCCACACTTGCATTACCTTGCTTGGTTGTTGCTTGTACATGGTTGTGCATGGTGCCTGTTCCTCTATCAGCTGGATCGGAGCCCGCGATACGCCTTGCCTCTTACTTCGACATGGACATCGAGGATTCGAAGCAGCACCCATGGCTCGAATACTCGGTCTGGCAGGATCAGGAGTGGGTGCGGATCTACACTGCAGGACAGCCTCAGCGATGGCACCACGGAGAAACTGTACCTGATCTACCAGACAATTCTTTTCGGGAATGGCAGCGGGTGACTGATCCCAATGGGCGCACTGGTGAGCACGGTCAGGCATGGACCATCCGCGACTGGCAGCATCAGGGATACCAGCGCATTCTGTCTCGAATGGAGTCCTTCACAACTCATCATTCGCATGATCAATCTCTTGGTGAAGTTCGGAATTCCGATGCCATTCCAGTTGAGGAGACGTTCACCTATGCTACTCCGTTTTCTCATGGTGATCGCTCGACTGCTTCACAACTCGCTTCAGTCCTCTATGGCGACACTCGTAATGCTCAACGTGGTGATCTCTCGTTCCCGTCTTCTGAGCGGTTTAGGGCTGTTTCTCGTTCCCCTCGCCGCGGTGGATTTTTTGGTCAACGATAGGGACACGGGGTTGAGCATGTGATCTTCCTGCGGAAAAGGAGACTTCTCGCCCCTCATTGAGGGGCGTGTGTGTGCGGAGTGACAGAATGCCCTGTCACCACCCTTTCGGTTTCTCAGCAGGGGGGTCACCCGCAGTCACGACCGGTGACCCAACGAAGAGGGTCGTGACCTGCGCTGATATCTGACCTGATCAGTCAGACGTACCTGCCGAGATGGTTGTGTTGTTCTGAATGTCCTTTTGGTCCCCCCCTGAACTGCCGTTGCTTCTGTGTGTCCCTGTTAAAGTAACTACAGGGAAGCCAAGCGTTATGCGAGTCGAACCTCATCATACTCGAGACTTATCAGTTGTACTCGAGACTCATCAGTTGTACTCGAAAGATTAGCACTCTCCATTTGGAGTTTAAGTGTGTGTGTGTGTGTGTGTGTGTGTGTGTGTGTGTGTGTGTGTGTGTGTGTGTGTGTGCGTGCTGTGTGTGCGTGCGTTGCGTGCGTGTGTGTGTGTGTGTGTGTGGGTGCGCGCGTGTGTGTGTGTGTGTGTGTGTGTGTGTGTTTTTTGTGGGGTTTTATGGTTTTTGTAGGGTTTTTGTCGGGGTTTTGTGGGGTTTTTGTAGTGTTTTGTGGGGTTTGGTAGGGTTTTGTAAGGTGTTTGTTGGGTTTTGTAGGGTTTGTGAGATTTTGTAGAGCTTTGTAGGGTTTTTGTAGGGTGGGGTTTTGCTGCGGTTTTTGTAGGGTTTTGCCTGGTTTGTTGTGTTTTGTAGGGTTTTGGTAGGATTTTGTTAGGTGTTTTTGGGTATGGTGGGATTAGGGCTTTCTGGGAGTTTGTAGGGTTCTTTTCGGGTTTTGTGGGATTGAATGGGGTTTTGGCATGGTTTGGTAGGGACGTTTGGCCAAGTTGAAATTGTCCTGCTGTTGCCATCAATGATTGCACAGAGCTAAATCAGTCTGACTATGTCACTGCACCACCCCACAGCCTCTCGTTCCCCAAGCCTAGAATCAGAGATCCCTTCCGCAGGGAGGCCAAGCAAATTTTGGGGGTCCAATTCCCGATGGCACATACCCGACACTTGGTCCAATCCAAGCAGGGCTCTTCCGATTCAACCGGTGAGCTGTTCGTTCCGTTTTCGAGGGAACGGCCTAAAGAAAGGGCAACCCCCCCATTCCTCGACGGGCAGTGGGTCGCTTAGGGATCGCGGAAGTGGTTCGCTTAGGGATCGCGGATCTGGGTCGCCTCGGGATCGCGTTTCGAAGAAGGCTTGTCGTGCATGCATGCGTGTTGACATGTATGCCTCGCGATGTATGTTTATATGCGCGCGTGTGTTTGCATGTATGCGCTTGTTTGTGCTTGTTGGCGTGTATGTCTCATGACATATGTGGCGTGTATGTCTCATGACATATGTTACTATGTATGCTGGCGAGTCCAATTTGCACATTTCGTTACAGAGCAGGCTGGGCTGGTTCAGTTGAGCGGGTGTGCTTATCACCCCCCCCTTCCCCCCCCCCCACCCCACCCCCCACCCCACCCCCCACCCCACCCCCCACCCCCAGAAAAAGATGAATTTGCTGGGATGAAGCAGTTCAGCGGGTGTGCGTATCATGCCCCCCCCCCCCCAGAACCATGTTATTTTGTAATCCGGTAAAAGAGCAGGCTGGTCTGCAGCAGTTGAGCGGGTGTTACCATGCCCCCCCCCCAGAGCCATGTTATTTTGTAATCCGGTAAAAGAGCAGGCTGGTCTGCAGCAGCTGAGCGCGTGTGCTTATCATCCCCCCCACCGAACCCCCCCCCCAGAACCATGTTATTTTGTAATCCGGTAAAAGAGCACAGCAGTTGAGCGGGTGTGCTTATCATGTCCCCCCCAGAGCCATGTTACTTTGTAATCCGGTAAAAGGGCAGGCTGGTCTGCAGCAGTTGAGCGGGTGTGCTTATCATGCCCCCCCCAACCCCCCCCCCCCCCCAGAGCCATGTTACTTTGTAATCCGGTAAAAGGGCAGGCTGGTCTGCAGCAGTTGAGCGGGTGTGCTTATCATCCCCCCCACCCAACCCCCCCCCCGCCCCCCCTGATCTGTGAATGTGATCCCTAAGTGATCCGTGAATGTGATCCCTAAGTGAGCGGAATGTGATCCCTAAGTGAGCGCGTATCCCTAAGTGAACCGTTTGAGCGATCCCTAAGTGACCACTCTGCCTTCCTCGACAGGCTCGTTCACCAACGGGAACGTGCAGGAGTAGTCCCAAAAACGGATCCCTCGACATGTGGCTCTTTCTCCAACAGGAATCTGCAGGAGCCTGGTAGTCTACCTGTTGGTTCGGCCGCAGGAGTAGTCTACTGTTTTGGACGAAGATGCGCAGGGCTCATTTTTTCCAAAAACAAATGTGGCAGTGGTCAAAAATATGTACCCAAATTGGAACCCTGTAAATGGAAACTTGGACTACAACCTGCGGTCCTCTGGTTTTTTTTTATTTACCCACACCCATGTTCATAACCAGGGCTGGGCCTTTTCTTGAAACAACATTCTGTCCGTGCGCACGACGTGCCCGAATTCCCAAAGGCCCCTGGCCAAATCTGCGGACTGTGCTCGAAGAGAACACTTGGTACTATGAGGGCTTAACTCATTGGGGTTGGGAAGTCTGGAAAAGCAAACCTCATGGGGTCTGGTAGCTCCCAGCCCTCCGGTTCCTTAGCTTTTTAGATCCTTTTTCTGTTTAGTGGTAATTCGTTTCCAGACGTCCACTCAAAGTTTTCAACTTTTCGCGGGGGATCTGAAAACGGGCGGCCCAGTTTCCAGATCCGACATCCGCAGGCCGGATTTGGGCGCCTTTGGGTCTGCGCTCAGCGCGTGCAAAGTCCGGGACCCGGATCGACGCAACCGAATCGGTGGAGTACACGTCTCCGCATTCTCTCTTATGCATCCCTCTCTATTAATCAAGGGGCTATTAATCCTGTTCCAGTTCGTTTCAGAATCAAACAAGTGCCTCAGTCATAGGATCTATTTCCGTTTTGTCTTTGGATATTTGCAGGGTTCCAGTTCTTCTTCTAGGGTATAGGAATTATGGCCAGTTTTTTGGAATACAGGGTTGCTCTCTTGGCCGTTACAGTAAACAATGAAACCACCAGTCACTCGGATAGACCATTGGTTTCCTCGTTTTCGTAGAAGAGAGAAGGGCAGGATCTTGGGGGACCTAAAGAAGAAGGATTCCCGAAGAAGCCGCTGAAGGTTTTGCCCTGTTACCCCCTTTCAGCTTTCCAAAGAAGGGGTATGTTTAGTGCTCCGGGGTGTCCCATTCAATTCCTACAAGAACCCAGGGTTCCAGTCCAAATCCACCATCGATTCAGCTCACCACCAACTCGGGGTGGGAGGGTTCCCCGTGTCTAAAATAGACAAAGCCGAAAAGAAGTTTGGTACCCTTATGGCTGTGGCTCAACAAACTGGTACCAAAATCAACCCTGGTAAGTTTGGCCCCTCCTGTTTAATTTGAGCCATGAATTTTAATAGGGAACCACCTCAAAAGTGAATTGGTGGACATGAATCCCCACCGAATTTTGATGTCCACCATTTCGGGCTTCTTATTAAAAAAAACATAGCCATTTTGAGCCAGCCACACCCTTTCTTCCAACCGCTCAAAACTGGAGGACCTGGCTCCATCTTCGCTTCGGGGGTTTCCGGGACCTGGCTCCATCCGTGGAAAAAGAAGCCTTTGGTGTTGCGTCGGTGCACGTCGCGCCGATCGAGGCAGTGAGCCATATTTTCCCCACCTATCGCACAAAAGGCAAGTTTGTTTCCCTTTTTTTTCTCCTCCCGAATTCCTGCCAAAAAGCAAACATGGCACTAGCGAGGGGAACACTTGGTGCTCAGTAGGGAATGACCGTTCCAGGTGTTGGGAATGTTTCTATGGATTCTAAAGGACACCATCGGAGACGGGTTAAATCGGGGTCATTTCATTTCTCACTCCCCTGCACCAGCAAGATGAGTCAAGGTGCACTCCTTGAATTCACATCACCTGCCATTGGAGACCTGAGGGGCCAGCTTTTGATTCTCCCAAAATGCCTCTCATGGAGCCAATACAACTGGAAGGCCGTGAGACCTGAAGCAACCATGGAACCCCGAGACTCGAGAGGAGACCATGGTTGTTGTTGGGAAACATTCCTTCCATGCTTTTGGCTTATTGTGGTTTAGTGGTTGAAATCCAAATCCGCTGAACTGCTAAAGTCTAAATCTTTGTTTCCCTAGCCCAACGTCAACCCAGTTTTTGGGGTCCTCCTTGTTTTTCAAGAGCCAGGCAAACAAGACATCTTGTTTCTTTGGTGCATTTTGCTTGGCTGTTAGGACTTTAACTTTTTGCCAACTAGTGGGTTTTCCGTACTAAGCCACTAAAAGTTAGTCACTTTTAGCAAGGCTTCGCAGATTTCGCAACCCCGAGGCTTTTTTTTGGCCGGGGTCCGAGTTCTCCCGCCGAGTGAACAGCTGTTCGCCGGGGGTTTTCTGAGGGCCCGGAGAAAAGCAAGCGGTTTCTCGTTTCGTTTCGAGGACGGCCTCTCCTGGGACAACGCGCTGCAGCTCATGGGCCAGATGAGCCACGGCCCTTCGGCCCCACAAGCTCCTTCCGGCGGATGGATGCTAGGGGCCCATTTTTTTTGGGGGGGCTTCTCAAAAACAGCCCCCCCCCCTTAATATTTTTTTTCTTTTTTTTTCCCCCCCCCGTTGCGTTTCCCTTTGAACGTCAGCCAAACAAGAATGGCGGGTCCATCATTTTGAGAAACTTCCATTTCAGGTGAGAAGCGGCCTTTTTCCTTCCCCCCCTCCCACTAACGGCCATGATGGTTCTACCTTGGGGCCCATGTAAACCAATAGAACGCCATGTTGGCATCTTCAAACAAAGCAAGCTCGGACGAATGCGCCCCTACATTCATTGGCCGCCGAACACAAACTTTGAGGGTGGCTTTAAAGGAAACCAACAGGAACATTTTGGGGGTCGCGGAAAAGAAAGACTGAGCCAGAAGAGAAGCTTTTGGACTGGTTTTTACTCCGGGCTTTCTTGTTCCATCAGATTCCTTTCCAGCCAGGGCTTTGCCTTGAGCTTCTGCCAGCAAAAAAAAAATCCCCGGAAAGGGGACGCCGGGTCCGGCCCAAAAAAAAGGCGAGAGCCAGGCGGCGAGTTTTCTCAGTTGGAGAAACGAACGGGTACCCCCGTTGTTTTGAGATGGTTTCTAGAACACACATCATGCTGGTTACATCCCCACCCCCTTAAAAATGGGAATTGGGGGAGGGGGGTGACCCCTGGAGATCTCCAGGTTCCATTTTCCCTTTTGTGGAAGAGTAAATAAATGGAATTGGGGGACCCCAGGGGGGATCTGGTTGCAAATGAGTTCTGTTTGATGCACGCGATTAGATTTTGTGATTGGCGGTCCTTTGACTGCCACGCAGAACGCTTGTGACCTCTATGAACGAGGCTTTATGAATGTGATGTGAGATTTGCGTGAATGAGATGCGTGGTTTCTTTTGTTTTCCCTTCAAATGTCCCTCAAAGCGAACAATTCAAAGTGCTCGTTTGGGAGCCGGTGGTTCGCTGTACCATTCCGTCGTTTTTTCTTCTTCTTTTGTTCCCTGTCTGGCCCTCTCACTATTTGTCCTTCTTAGGACACGGCCATTTGCTTAAGGCCGCCATGCTTTTGTGGCTTCCCCTTTTTTGCCCAACAGCTGGCGAGGCATTTTTTTAAACATATTTCTTCTGGTTCTGAAACGAAAAATCCCTGGTTGCTTTCTTAAAGGGGTTTGGTTCCTGCGCCATGTGCTTGGATGTTCGGCTGACTTAGTAAGTGACTTGGGCAAGTGGAGGCAGCCCGCTGGTTTAGATTCGATTCCAAAGGCTTCTGAGACGGGGACCTCCAAACCACCGATTCAAAACACGAGTCGAAGGGAAGCTGCCGACTTTTTTTTTTTTGGACATGGATCACTACTGATTGTATGTGTATTTTTTTTTCTCCTGAAAACGAAAGGCACATGGAGGTAAGGATTTAGAAGGTTCAGGTCTCGTTTTGGGGGGGAACATGGAGGGAGGATTGTTTTTGTTCTTTTGTGTGCAGGGCGGGGGAGGTTTGGATTGGAGGTGAGTCCTACTCAGGGGACTCATAGAAATTTATGGTGAACAATCAGATAATGTTGACTCCGGATTAATAAACCCCGGTTTATTAATATGGGGGTGTTGCCGGTTTCACTTTTGGAGGGAGCACCCCAATATTAATACACCGGGGTTTATTAATCCGGGGTCAACATTACGGTGGATGCCCTAGATACTGCAAGGAAGGGAAAAAGAGAACTCTCTAATCTTGACTGCTGTTGGGTTGGATCTTTAGACTTTAACTTTTTGGGAAATCAAGGGATTTTCCACTAAACCCCCCAAAAGTGAACACTGTTTGCAAGGGGGTCGTTACAGCAACCCAGTAATTTAACGTGTTTTACCATGGTTTGGTGGTTGAGAATGCCTGGTTTTCTTGCAATATGCTACGGGTATCCACCGTAGCACATGGCCTGCCCATGGTTTCTTTTCCGGTTTCCGATTTGCGTGCTAGCTGACTGTTCCCATTGGTTGGGTGTGCTAACTGGTTGTTACTCTCTTTGCCGGTCTTTACTAGATGTACAACAATCTGTTTGTCGCCTGATTGCTACTGATGTACAAGCTAACTGATTGATACTGACGGTATACACGGAGTGTACTAACTTGTTGTCAAGCTGCTCCGTCGCGCCCTTGGAGGGATGTTTGACAGACCTCTCCCACTGAAAGTTCAACTGGCAACAAGACAACGCGCCCCAAACACGCACACGCACAAACGTAGAGACGTTTTTTTGAGCCTTTCAGGTACCATCCAAAGGCCTAAGCCACAAGCTCGCGCTCACTCGGGTGGTAACCCATCCCCCCAAAAACCCATCCAACCGGCGGCCCTTTGACACACGCCATCCAGACTTTCAGCGGGGTCGTTCTTGCTTCAGGGGTCCTTGAAACCGAGAGACGCGCCAGTCCAAGCAAACACATCTGCTGTTCGACACACATCTGCAGTTTCAGCTACCAACCCGCGAAACCTTGTAGCCACCGCACCTGCCGTGTTTGAGATCAACCAGCTACACGCGTTTAACCAAAAGCAGTCGGAATGGGACCCTTTTGCAACCGTTCTCGTATTCCTGTTTCCTGGTGGAGTGGCCCGATACAAGCCCCTTAACAATGGGCATATTGTTTCGGATTCGGAGATCCCTTTTGCTTGCGCTAAGAAAAATCCCACCGAAAGAAGGCGCCCGCAAACCAAACAAACGACTCCCGTGGAAGCTCCGTTTTTAGCCTGTGCGAAACATCGAGAAAAGCGAGCGAACATCGAGCCTCGCTCGCTTGGTCGGTTTCGAGCATGGAATCGAGGGCGTGTGCGCCACGACGTGGCCGCTCTGAGCTCTGGCGCTCACCTCAGCGAGTGGTTCGGGGGCCGGAGGAGGCTGAGGCTGAGGAGAGCAAAGGGGACCAGGAGGTTTCCCTTTTTGGTGGTTTTCAAAGGAACCCAAAACAAAAGGAACCCCCACCAAAATCCAACCTTGAAAAAGACGATATGGGTCTTTCTTTACCCACGGCTGTCTAGCCTGTGTGCCTTGTCACCTGTGCGGGCCCTGGTGAGATGGTGGCACTTGTCACGGGTGGGCAGTCCAGGCAGCCATTAACTCCAAGTGCCGCTTTGCTAAGATGCCTGGGAGGGGCTCCCCCCGTCCTCACCACCACCACCGCCACCGCCACCGCCACCGCCACCACCACCACCACCACCACCGCCATATGGATCTTTCTTTTTGTGAGACTACCCTTTTTGGGATTAAGGGATTTCTCCACGGGACCACAGAACTCCCCCTCCGACACTTGAGGGACATCTGGTTTGCCATTCACAACACAAGCTGGGTTTCCTCTGGGACTAGTGGCTATCCGTTTGTGTTGCTATCCATGCGTCTAGGCACATGATTTGGCCGCACACGATTATGCGAGCGACGACATAAACGCACCTTAAACAGTTGTGCGCTCGACATGCACAACCAGAAGCACTCACGAGTTGTTTTTAGGTCGACCTGCCCAAAAGCAGAGCACAGGGTAAAGCCCGGGTGCGGTTCCTGTTTTTGAGGCTGCTCTTGATTCGCGGTAAAGGAAATCCAAAAGGAAAACTGTGAAGCACTTTTGCAGGTCCAAAAGGGCACCCCCAAAAATGGTGACCATAAAGCGGTCCTCCCGGTCCAAATCCAAGTTTAAGACGGGCACTTTGAGGCGACACCAAGCGAACTCCCCCAAAAGAAGGAAGATAATGCCAGAGGGTACAAGCCCATCTCTGCTTTGGTGCATTCTGCTTGGATGTTAGGACTTTAACTTGTTGCCAACGAATGGGTTTCCCGTATTCAACCACTAAAAGTTAGTCATTTTTAGCAGGGGAGGAGATTTCGCAACCGAGTCTGTAAGAGTCTTTGTAAGAGGGTAAATTATCTCACCAGGAATCGGACCGCAGGTTAAATCGTCTTTGTTTCCATTTACCCATTTTGGGCAAGCGTCATTTTGGGGTTACCCGATTTTTGACAACCACCCCCAAGAGATGGGGACTCAGCCCCTAGACTTTGTTCAGTTGATATCGTGTGAAAACGCGAGCAACAAAGGAGGTAGTTAGTCACCATGGACAACAAGACAAGCAAACGAAAACAGAGGGTACTTGGAGTGGGGGGTAGTAAGTGTTTGGCTTGGCACTGAAAGCGTCCCCCATCTGGAGTCAGGGTGCTTTTTTTTGTTCACCCAGGCTAGCTACTGAACTTGGCCAACACACAGCCACGTAGCCAACAAACAGCCACAGCCAGACAGCCACAGCCATAGCCACAGCCAATTCGGACATGGGTTTGAATTCGGACCCATAGCCACAGCCACGTAGCCACGAATTTGGCTAACTCTGTGCTGTCCGAATTCAAACCCCATGGCTCCGAGCCCCAAAGCTCCGAGCTCGAGGCATCGCCGCCTGCGAGGCTCTGGCCTCCGAGGCGCCCGCTCGCGGGGGGCGGATTTTTTTTTTTTTCGGGGCTCGGTTTGGTGAGGGAAATCCGCCGGGGGAAGCCGCCGGCGTGTTTGTTTTTGGGGGGTGCCCTTGTTTACGAATCCATTTGCGGAAATGAAGATTGTTTTATTATCCCCTGGTTTCAAAGGGAACCTATGACTACTGGACATATTTTTTGCCATGGGGGCTTAAAAGCAAATAGAAGTTTAGAGCCAAGCCCAAGCCTTTTTGCGACTCCACTTCAGAAGTTGTTTAGTAGGGGCTGCGGCTACCGCCCAGAGCGTTCGGGTTGTAGTTGACGCCTGTTTTAGGATCCGGATCTTCTTCTGGACCCCTCACGTTCTGGCTCCCGCGAGAAGGTTGTTTGAGAACTCACACCATTTTTGCGTTTGGAGGTTAGGTGTTCAAGACACAACTACTCCCCCCTTTTTTTGAGGTTGTCACTCAATGGGCCCGCTTTTTCGTTTTTTCGACCACCCAACTACTTTTTGTTTTTCACCAATGGTCGCCGCCCATAGTGTTTGGGTTGTAAACTAGGTCCCCCAGTAGTGCCCTTTTACCCTTTCTTTGGGGAGGGTTCCCTACTAAAATAGACTACAGAAAACAATCGGGTGCCCTTATTCTATCCTCTCTACTGGAGAACCCAGAATGGACACCGTCCATACCGTTTGGGTTGTAAAGGTTTGCATGGTTGTCGTTGGGACACATTTTACATTTTTGCATATTGTGGTTTAGTGGCTGAAATCCATATCAACTCAACTGCTAAACACATTCTGTTGCTCCCCTTCCAAGGTCAACCAAGCTTTTGGGGTCCTCTTTGTTTTTCAATTTGCCAAGCGTGGAGGATCTAGAATGGACACCGCCCATAGTTATCAAAGTCGGAGAATGGTTGCCTTGGGCATTTTTTTTTTTCGGTTTCTGAGGGTTATCAAAGTCGGAAAATGGTTGGCCCGGGGAGGATCTCCCCCGGTTGGGTTTGGGTCCGGGCCGAAGCTCTCTCTCCGAGGGCAGCTGGCAGCACGCCCTGCTGCTTCCAGGTCTCCTGGGGGCTGGGAATGCGGTGCCAGGAGCTGAGGTCTCTTGGGAGTTCGGAGAGGTGGACATGGAGTGGCCTTTTTTTCTTTTAATTCATTTATTTATTTTTATTTATTTATTTATTCATTTATTTTTGTTTTTGTGTTGTTCTTCTTTTTTCGGCAATTGTTTTTCTTCCCAGCGAGTTTTTCTTGCGCAGGGCTGGGTTTTTTGGAGGGGCCACCCATGAGATGTCAAGAATGTTTTGGGCTTCGCTTCCCTTGCTCGCTACTTGCTCAAGCTTCTTTTTTGTTTTTGGTTTGAAAAAGGCACCAAAAGGAAAACACCGGAGAGCACCATTTGGGGGGGGTCCAATCTTTAAAAAGACGAGCCACCCAAGTGCTTGTTTTAGGAGAGCCCCAAAAATTGCGGGTTCCTTTGAGTTTCCCTTCAAAGCCCCAGATTCTGTCTCGAAAGCCACGAAAGACCCATGAACCACAGTCCTTTGCACGATGGTTGACAAAAACGGGAATGCTCAAAGACCCAGTTTCTCAAGGCAACGTCCGCACACAAACACACACACACACACACAAACACACTTGTTTGTAGAATTTGGGTTGTTCCATGCCCCTTGACCACGACCAACATCACCAGCAGCATCACCACTCAAATCACTAACATTCACAGAAATCAGGGCTTGCGAGGAGTTTGGGGGGTAAAAGGATTGGGTGGAGGTACCCATTGGGCGAGAGCGGGATGCCGAAGGAACACCGAAGGGCATCGGTCTCTTTTCTTCCATTTCCATTTGAAAGGAAAATATTTTGATCTTCTCCGGTTGGTTTAAATAGGACTCTATCACTGGACATATTTTGCAGTTTCCCAGAAAACAAACAAGCAGCACCTTTTCGGGTGGGAAGCTGGCCGTAGCGCTGGCGTTGGCTCCGCAACCTTTGCTTCCAGCGTGACCCCGGGCCAGGTCTGGGACATACGGTGGATGGACAAAGTCCGTTTCACACCACCGTTCAGAGGGCCTGGAAGGCGGATTGCCCTGTACATGCCAACAAACAATGGTTTCAACCATGGTTTCAAAGTGGTGCGAAATGGATTTGGTCCATCAACAGTAGGTGTCCTCTTGATTGGTTGGTTTGGTTTAGAACAGTTGGGTTCAGGTTTCATGCCGCCGTTTCCAAGCCGCGTTGAGGTTTCGATGACCGACCCATTCGCCTCAGGAGATAATTATTGTACCCCCTACTCCAAATACCGATTCGGCTTTTCTTTAGTTGGTCTTTTTTACGGAAACCCGGTTAACCGGTTTTCCATGGTAAATACCTCCTTCCCTTTTTTAGAGGGTCGACAAATGATACCAACTGAAAAAAGGCATCGGGTCTTGGGTGGTTTCGGGGGAATCCAAGACCTCAGCGCTGGGGCACTCATCTGGGGCACCGCGTTCGCCTTTGGCCCGTTGAGCTTGTAAAGTCTGAAGGCCCGTCTGAGGGCCTCAAGCCGGAGAATCACAAGCCCTCTTTTTGACACGTTTTCTTTTTTCTTTTTGGGGGGGGGGAGGTTACACGTTCTTTTTGACATGTTGTTCTTATTGGGGAAAGGTGGTGGTATATATATATATATATACATAAGGGTTGAGGGGGGAGGGGTTGGATCCTATGAAAGAGAAATATTTCTTTTGTAAAACGTTTCGGTTTCTTTTTGTTCTCCGTGCCAAATCGCGGGTCTGGATCCTACGACATGCCTCCGCCATCAAACACCGCCCGCGCCGCCCGCAGTTTTTTTTTGGATTCCGCAGCAGCCATTGCAGAGGGAGCCATGTCCATCTTCGAAGCGACCATCTTGTGCAAGTTTAATGCAACTCGGTCTGAGTTGTTCCGCACCTAGGTGCCCCAGTAGGCCCTTTTACGCCTTTTTGGGGGAGGGTTCCCCTACTAAAATAGACTACAGAAAAGAGGGTACGCTTATTCTAACCTCTCTACTGGAGGACCTAGTCACGAAAGTTCGCTTTAGCTCGCGGTAGTGTCTTCTTGTGCAAGCAAGTGTTTATTTGGGGAAGGTCCTGTTCTGGCCCAAAAGTTCACAGAGCTATTTTAGACTAGCGTCCACACACCCAAAACTCCATCCTGGGTTCGACCACTTGAGGAGGGTCCTGCTCATGTTTCGAGCAGACAGCAAACTGCCTGGGTGACTACCTCAGCGACTCTTGGGGGTCAAGGGCAAGCCCGGAACCTGATCTAACCGAAGTCGCAAAGCAGTTGCTCGTTTTGCAGACAAACACACGCACACCACTAGGGTGTGTCCCCCATAGAGGGACTCTGGCTTCACATTTTGGGTGATCCTGGGGGCATTTGTTTTGTGCCGTTGGGAGTCGGATTTCTGGGCGTGGGAGTGGGGCATGCGGATTTTCCCAAAATGGCGCCTTTTGGCTTCCTTTTGGGGCTCCAGTTTACATTTTTCCCTTTTTGAACGGGTCGAAAAAAGCGGAACCCATCTGAAAGGAATCCATGAGGGCATGGCTCGTCTTTTTTGGAGTTGGTTTGCCCCTCTTTGTGGACAAGTTGAGGGGAGGTGACCCCATATAAATCAACCCCAGTTTAATAATCGGGGGGTGTCCCTAGGCGTGGGGAATCATCACTTTTGGAGGGGAACACCCTATGAATAAACTGGGGTTGAAAAGATATGGGTACGGGTCAAAATGAAACCACCAGGATATGGACCGCAGGTTTAGTCCTTGTTTCCAGTTTCTAGCGTTCCATTTGGTCACTCCACATGGTTGTTGTGGTTTAGTGGGAAATCCCCACTTAACTGTTAAAATTTAGATTGTTGCTCCCCTTCCAACGTCAACCAAGTAAAGGTGCCCGTTTTTTGGAGGTGGATGTTGGTAGGCCACCATATGTTTGAGTGGATTTGAGTGGCTTACCTTGGCCAATCCACTCTCGTTTCCAAACTGCTGGGGTTTGAACAGAATTCTGGTTGAAAGGAATGCAGAAGGAATCAACCCTAGGACCACCCCCCCCCCATTTGGGTGTGTCAAAATCGAGGGACTTGAATAATTTTCCCTTTTCGGGTCCCTTAACCCGCTTGCACAAAGCCCACACCAGTGCCTCCCCAGATCCCATGGCGAGCGATTCCACCGAAGGGCAGGGGGGGGGGGGGAACGAGCGAAAGCCATGGTAAAGAGATCCTTTGCTTGGGGAGATGCAATTCTAATTTCAGGCTTTGGACGATATGGAAAAGACTCTTTCCAAGCCATCTTCAAAACCCCGGTGTTTGGCTCAGCTGAATCAACCCGACTGGGGAATCACCCGACTGGGGAATCACCTCCCCCCCTCCCCTCCCCCTTGTGGGGGCTCCATCATCCCGGAGGGTGGGATGTTGGCTTGAGGCAAAGAACCAGGGCACCACAGGCTATCCTTGAACCCCATGTTCCCAACGCAAGCCATTTTGGGGGGTCACCACCATGTTTTTTGTCGGCCCACAGCTTTTCGGCTCGACTCGAATTCTCTGCCCAAAGCGAATCGACCTGATCTGACCTTTTGGTTTTTCCTTTTTCTAGTTCTAGTCATGGCCCCAAAAGGTGATCACCTGTTATTTCTGGGTCCCTAAGGGGCAAGTCGATTCGAATTTCTCGAATTCGAGGCCAAGGGCAAATGCCAAAAGGGCGCCGGCTGCAAATTCGCCCACGGCGCCTCAGCCCTCCGAAGCAAGCCGGAGCGACGGGGTCTCGCGACGTCGCGACCGTGTGAGCGAACGGCTGGTGTATCGTTGTAGCATCCTTTTTTGGGAGAGCTCCCCTAAAATGGGGAGGTTTTTCCCTTCCCACAAGAAGAGGGCTCCAACTCGAAAAACAGACGGGCCCCATTAATTTGTGGGGAGGAAATTGGTAGGACATGACCCCATGTCTTTGCCTTTTCCGGGGTTGCCCGAGTACCCTTGGCATGATCGGGTCGCGTGGGCGCCAACCTTTTTCGGTGTCCGATTTTTTCATTCGCGAGGGTTCCAACAGATCGCCCGAGCTCGGCACACTTTGTGTAAACCATCCTTTTTCAGTAGGTTTTTCACTGGTGTTTTTCAATGGGTGTGTGTTTTTCTTCTGACCCTAGAAAATGGTGGTTCCACACACAAAAGGGGTAACCTCCAAAAAAGGACACACATCCACAAGGGTTTCATGCCCAGATCCTGGGGGCAAATGAGAAGCGCAACTTGTGAGAAGCCATCGACGTGTTTGCAGATGTGCACAGCGAAGGCAACCTGCCAGGGGAGGTATTTACCCTGAAAAACCAGGTCCTTCCAAAAAATACTTTCAACAAAGTGGGTATTTGGAGGTGACGGGGGTAATGTTAACCCCAGATGAATAACCCCCCTGCTTGATTTTGATTGGGGGTGTCCCCTTTTAGCAATAACCCCCCTGGTTGATTAGTAGGGGGTGTCCCGATTCTTTTGGTGGGGATTCAGACCACTTTTGGAGGGAACACCTTTTCCGAATAGTGGGACGGGCAATACTTTCAAGAGAACGAGGGTCTTTTTAGGGAATCCCGCGGGAGTGGTTCCCCAAGGCTCTCAACTACCCTTCTTTCCTTTTACCTACCTCCCTTAACAGATTCCATGTTGATCAATATTCCATTTGGCCCATTTAGTGGTGAAAGTCGCAATTCTCTTTTTGAGTGGTTTCCCTACTGGTCATTCCATGCAAAGGACCATGAGGGCCGCCTTCGGGTTCATACAAACCAGCTACTGCAAGTTCTCCAGGGAAGGCAAAACCCAGGGAACCCCTCGAGAGCTAAACGCAGTCGTTGGTTTTTCTTGGAAAGGTGTGTGAGGTTGCTTCGTGAGCGAGCCAGCTCAGTTTTCCATTCCCTTTCTGGGTTGGAAAGCCCCAAGCAAGCAAGCAAGCAAGCACGTAAGCAAGCAAGCAAGCAAGCAAGTAGGCAGGCAAGCAAGCAGGCAGGCAGGCAGGCAGGCAGGCAGGCAGGCAGGCAGGCAGGCAGGCAGGCAGGCAGGCAGGCAGGCAGGCAAGCAAGCAAGCCACCAATCAACTAACC